CTTTTCATCATGTGGGTCCTGCGGATGAACACAGGTCATTAGACTAGGTGGCAAGCACCCTTACCTGCTGAGCCATCTTGTCAGCCCCTCTGTTCATTTTTTTTAAAGGAAGCTTTAAATTTTAGTGGCTTTAAAATCTTTTATTTCTATTTCTGGAGTAAGGAAGGGACTTTTAAGACTTACTTTTTGGTTGTCTTGTTTCTACTATTAGATACTGGACTGGGGATGTAGCTCAATAGGTAGAGTGCCTGCCTATTGTGCATGAAGGCCTGGGTTCAATCCCAGTACCCAATAATCTTGGCATAGTGGCACACACCTGTAACCCCAGGAGTTGGAGGGTGGAGGGAAAAGGATCAGAAGTTCAAGTACAACCTCTGTCTGCAACATAGGGAATTCAAAGCCAGCATGGGATACATGAGTCATGTCTTAAGAAAATAATCCAGTAGATTCCGATAATGTATTTCATCTTTGAATTATTTGGGGGTCAAATGTAAAGTAGAAATTGGTGAATACAATTTCTGGTTTGGGTTTTGTGTTGTTCCTTGAGACAGGGTCTCCCTGTAACCCCAGATACACTGTGCAATATAGACCAGGCTGGTTTTGATCAAAAAGATATGCCTACCTCTGCCATTCAAGTGCTGGGATTAAATGCATGTGCCACCATGCCCAGTGAATGAGTCATTTTAAACTTCAATGCATCTACTGTCTTCAGCTCTAGAAAACATCAACTTTCACTTTTTTTAAAAAAATTGTATTCTTTGAAGTTTTCATGCATCTATACAATGTATTTCGGTCATACCCACCCACCATTACCTCCCTCCATCTCTCCCTGGTGCTCTAAAATCCATCTCCCTTCTGATTTAATGTCCTCTTTTTTTAAAAACACAATTTCTAGCCAGGCATGGCGGCACACACCCTTAAGTCCCAGCACTCAGTGGGAGGCAGAGGCAGGTGGATCTCTGAGAGATCGAGACCAGCCTGGTCTACGTAGTGCCAGGGCGCTGGGGCTACAAGGAGACCTTGTCTCAAAAAAAATAAATAAATAAATAAATAAACAAACAAACAATTTCTAGGACTGGAGAGTTGGCTCAGCAGTTAAGAGCACTGGCTGCTCTTGCAGAGGACATGGGTTCAATTCCCAACACCCACATGGCAGCTAACAATTGTCCGTAAGTCCAGTTTCAGGGGACTCTGATGCCCTCTTCTGACCTCTGCAGACATTGCATGACATGGGTACACTTACATACATGCAGGCAATAACACTCATACATATAAAATAAAAATACTAGATAAAATATTTTTTAAAAACAGCTACTAAGTTAAACAACTTGTCCAAGATGTTTTGTGGATGTGAGCCTAGTATTTTCAGAATTTTCTTTCATTTGGGGCTTTATGCAAGAACATTAATGAGCCCCCAGTCCCAAGGAAAATATCAGCAGGAATCCTTGCAAGATACTGAGAACTTTAAGGAAAATTGGGTGTTTTTTCATTTCATGTGTGCATATATATGGTGTGCTTGTGTGTATACATGTTTGGGGCACATGTATGTGTGTGTATTTATGTGCATGTGTGTGCTTATATGTGAGTGTACATGTGGAGGCCCAAGGTTGATGTGGGGAATCATCTTCTCTTGTAAACCCCCCTTACTCATTGAGTCAAGGTCTCTCAATCAAACCCAGAGCTCCTCCATGTCTAGTCTCTCTAACCAGCTTGCTCTAGATTTCCCCATCTCAATTACCCAGGCAGTAATGACAGGCAAGCTGCCGCACCCAGCATTTACATGGGTTCTGGGGATCCGAACTTAGAACCTTATGTTTGGGTGGCAAGCACTTTAGCCAGGCTCATAAATCATTTGAAAACTTGCCTTCTGTTTGCCAGGAATATTTTAGCTCTTTCAAAATACACTTTCCCAAATTACATGCACATTTTCTCTGTAGTTGCTGTTAATCTGGTCTAATTCTCTCCACTTCTGCCCATCACTAATAAAACACAGCACCTAGGGCTGAGGATGTGACTCGGTTAGTACAGTCTTTGCTTAGCATGCATAGGCTCCTGGGCTCCATCCCCAGCACTGAACAAAACCGGGTGTGGTTCTATTCCCAGCCCTTGGGGGTGGGCGGAGGCAAGGGGACCAGAAGTTCAAACTCAGACCTGGCTAAATAGTGAGTTTGAAGCCAGTCTGGGCTACCTGAGATCCTGTTTCAAAAATAAAATAAGAAAATGCAGAATTTGATCTGTTACAGGCTGTTTTCCTATATAGCCATTTACTGCTTTGGGGTGGCAGCCTATTTGGAGGAAAAACCTATTCTTAATCATACTTTGATCACATCAGAAAACAACTGTTAGTAAAAAACTAGGGGCAGTTTTCTCAGTAAGGAGATTAACCTTGTTTCTTTTAGTGTTGGGATATGCTTAGCAAGCATAAGACCCTGGGTTTAAGCTATAACACTTTTTCTTGGCCTCTTTTGGAGAAATCAGAATTCTAAAAATAAATGAACTAGATTGGTCCTGACTATCCTGTGCTATGAATTTCAGATGTTGTAGAGTTAAAATAAGGAAGCCTCCTAGTACGCGGGAGATAGAGGCAGGCAGGTCTCTGTGTGATCAAGGCCAGCCTGGTCTGTAGAGAGTTCTAGGGCAGCTGAGGCTACAGGGAGACCCTATCTCTAATAATAATAATAATGATAATGATAATATATCTAAACCTCATCCTTCATACCCACAGACTTAAGTTGAATTATAAATATGTTTTAATTTTTCTTCTTGAGGCAGGGTCCATGTAGCCCAGGCTGGCTTCCAACTCACTAAGTAGCTACAATTAACCTTGAACTCCTGAACCTCCTGCCTCAACCCCACAAGTGCTGGGATTGCAGGTGTACCCCACCATACCTGGCTTAGATTTTGCTTTTTAAATGTGTATTAAATCTGTTCTCTGGAACTGGCAAGATGGCTCAGTAGGTAAAGGTACCTGCTGACAAAGCTGACAACCTGAGTTTGACCCTGGGTCCAACACGATATAAGGAGAGAACCAACTCCTACAAGTTGAACTCTGACTTCTACACACGTGCCCCCCCAAATAAATAATTGTAATAAAATTTTTAAATTTTTGACAGTTTTTGCATGGATATAATGAATTTTGATTACTGTTAACCCTTACTCTTGCTGTTCTTTTAAACATTTTGCTGATGTCAGGAAGGTGGATTTTTATTTTTTTATTCTTTGAGAATTTCTTACATATATACGATGAAATATGATCATAATCACTCTCCATCTCCCACCTCCAACTCCTCCTATATTTCCTCTAACATGTCCCCCTCCCAACTTCCTGTCTACCTTTTTTTGTGTGATAACCCCCCTAAGTCCAATGAGTGTGGCCCACATGTACATAGGTTTGGGGCCATCCACTGGACTATGGGAAACCTACCAATGATCACACCCTCGAAGAATGAATCTTCCCTCCTTCAGCAGCTGTCAACTGCCAGTAGCTCTTCAGTAAGTTCTGGGCTCTTGGGACCCCCTCCACCATCTATGCCAAAATTTGGGCTGGCCTGATCTTGTGTAGGTAACCACAGCTGCCGTGAGTTCAGTAGTGCAACAGCCATGTCACGTCCAGAAGACAGTGTGTTACAACACTCCTCCTCATCCTGATAGTTTATATTCTTTCTGCCCCTCTTCTGTGATGTTTCCTGAGCCTTGGGGGTCAGGGATGGAGAGGGGTGGAGTGAGATGTGAAAACTGAGATGACTGGAGGGACCATTCATAACTACCTTTACATATCTGCAATGTTTTTTAAAATTATGTGTTTCTGTGTGCATTGGTGCACATGTGTTCAGGTGCCTGCAGAGGCCAGAGGCATCAGATTCCCTGGAGCTGGAGTTACAAGAGCCATGAGTTGCCTGACATGGGTGCTAGGGCTCAAACTCTGGTCCTCTGCAAGAGCAGTACAAGCTGTTAACCTCTGAGCCATCTCTCCAGCTCTTACACAGTTTTAAATTTATTTTAATTTTGTGTATTTGAGTGTTTTGCCTATATGTAAGTACACCATCTGTGTGCAGTGCCTTCAGAAGCCAGAAGGAAGTGTCAGATCCACTGGAACTGGAGTTAGGGACAGTTGTTAGTCACCATGTGGGTGCTGGGAATCAAACCCAGGTCGTCTGCAAGAGCAGCCAGTGCTCTAACCACTGAGCAATCTCTCCAGTCTCCCCAGCATACACTCTACCACCCCTGTCAACCCTCTTCCTCCATGCCCCTTTCCCGAATTCTTGTCCTTTTTTTTTTTTTTTTTTTTTTTTTTTTTTTGCTTGTGAACCACTGGGTTTAATTGACAGCCTTTTTACATAGGGTACAAGATGGCATCTTGATAAATGTATGTTATAGAAAACATTGAATCAAACTGACATATGCACCCACTCACCTAGTTTTTTTCATGATAATATTTAAAATCTCTACTTAGAAATATGACATGTTAGCCAAAGCTACCGTGTTGTGTGACAGCTCTAAGGCCTGTTTCTCGTCCCTGAAACTTGTAAGGTTTGGACAATGTCTCCCCACCCCATTCCTGGTTAAACACCATTCTACATTCTATGAGCCAGACTTCATGACCTGGGAGGCATCTGCCCTGGGCATCCATGTCCACATGACTCTAGCTCGGAGGTTTGCTTTTATGGTTGGAGAGAGTGTTGTTCAAGAATCCCAGGATCACTGGCTGTAACCTCTTGCTGGCCACTTGTGTGATTTCACTTGGTGCTCAGTTGACCTCAGAGAGGCGGGCGCTGTGATTCTTGTCTTTTCAGGCAACCTAACCTCAGGGTTGGGTTCAGGTACTTGGCACAGAGTCACCTTGAAAACTGCAAGAGTAGGACTTGAACACAGGACTTCTAGTCTGACCTGGGAACCCAGATGCTCACTGTATTTCTGTTGCTGTGCTCAAACACCACGACCAAAAGCAACTTAGGGAAGAAAGTTTATTTTGGCTGATGGTTCTAGAGGGAGAGTTCATGATGACGGGGGAGTCATGGCAGCAGGCAGCCAGAGCAGGAAGTGGAGAGATTACATCTCCAAACACCAACACAAAACAGAAGGAGAACTTGAAATGGGGTGAGGACATAGACCCTCAAAGCCCGCCCCTAGTGATACACTTCCTCCATCACAGGTCTATCTTCTAGAGATTGCATGACCTTCCCAAACACCATGACCAACTGGGGAGCAGGTGTTCAAATATATGGAGGAGATTTCTCGTTCAAACCACCACAGTCACCAGAGAGGCTTAGATCTCTTAGGATGGAATTACCTGTGTGGTATCTGAACCCACAGCATCACCATGAGTACTCAATATATAATTATCTAAGTAGTATCTGCTAGTGTTATTAACAACCCATTACAGCTGAACTCTACCAGGGTAGAAAGAGACGACGAAAGCATACAGGAGGAAAGTTCCAGGTGGACTTTCGACCACTGTCATTTAGGATATGCCACCCTAAACACTTTTTTTTCTCAATATATATTTTTATTGAACTTTTGGACATTTCATGCAAAAAATGTTAATCATTATTTAGAACCCTTCCCCCATCCTCGCCTCCCAATGTACCTCATGCATTCTGCCATATATGTTAAGGCCTATCGAGTCAAGTCTGTGAACCCAGATGGCCCTCAGTTCAAGTTCATTCACTAAACTCCTTTTTTTGTGTGTCTTTTTGAAGCAGGGTCTCCCTGTAGCCCCAACTGTCCTGGAACTCACTATGTAGACCAGGCTGGCCTTGAATTCACAGAGATCCGCCTGCCTCTGCCTCCCAAATGCTGGGACTATAGGTGTGCACCACCACGCCCGGCAACTACTAAACTCTTTTTTAAATACATTTTATTTTTATTTTATGTGTATGAGTGTAATGCCTGCATCAAGTTTTTTTTAAGTCAAATTTGACTGGATTTACATAACCCATTTTTGACAGGCACCAAAAGGAACTGTCTGAAAAAGCTGTCGTGGGTCTTTAGTAACTGGTGGGAAGCTACTTGCCAATTTTCTTGAGTATAGCATTCCTAGAGGGGTGTATTGAATTTTACTCTGTGCTGGATACTGTTTGGGGTCTAAGGATACAGCAATAAAAACATCCCAGATCCTAGATTCTAGTAACAGATAGAGAGACAGACTGGCATAAGACCTGCAGAATTGTCACCTGTGGTGTGGGCTTTTGTCAGTGTGTCTTGTAGTAGTAGTAGAGGAGATTGTCCATCTAAAGTGGACTGAGGTCAGTGGTGCAGATGTGAGGGTTTGCAAGGTTCGCTGCTGAGTCTAAGCCACCCTTTTCACAGGTCCCTCTTGCTTCATGTTACCAAAGAACCTGCCTCCCTACCAAAGCCTGAGTTTTCAGCCTTTGCGTCAGGATGGAAGACAGATTACCCTGCCTCATCAACTACCTGCTGCAGTTGTGTCTCAGGAAACTAGACAAGGAAGAACTCGGAATGTTTAAGCAATTACTAAAAGCTCAATACTCAGACTTGACGTCATGCATTCTCCCGAGGACCCAAGTGGAAAATGCCAGTGTGGAATGCGTAGTCTCTCTCCTCCTTGAGTATTACCTAGGACCTGTCTCTTGGGCAATAGTCATTTGCATCTTTGAAGACATGAAACTGTTGACACTCTCTAGGAAAATAAAAATGATATGAGAAGTAAGACTCAGGGCAAGTCTAGGGATGGGGGAAAGACTTGATCCCAAGCCTTAGTTAGTAATAGGGCATAATCCACATTCTCTAATTGGGTCTGCCTCTGCTGTGTGAGTCTGGACTGTGAGAAGTAATTGGTTGCATTCTCGCTGGCTAGAAATTAGCATAGCCCCACCTGTGTAGTACTGGAGAAGTTGGTAGTTTATGTGCCTGGACAGGACAGGTTGAGATGAATAAACACGTTATATTCTATTCTCATAAAAGCTAAACTTGAGCTCCGGAGTGGACGTTGTTACTGGGTAACTCTGTAAACCTTCTTTGACTGAATCTTGGGTTCCACCTGTTGGAATCATAGCATCCTAGGTATGATGTGGACCAATGCAAAGGTTCCTTGGGATAATATATAGAAGATGAGTCCCACTCATGTATTGAGTGCACTGACAGTTATCTGGTGGAGGGGCACTCTCTTGACTCCAAGATAAACTAAAGTTTGAGGTTCCAGTCTAAGGAGTGACCCTGCTTATCTGGTTGAGCAACGAACTCGGATTAGGTTGTGTGGCTCCCTTAGAATGCTTGTGAGAAATGTCATTTCTAGAACTGCCTATTCTCAGTTGGGCATGGTGGTGCACATCTTTAATCCCTACACTTGGAAGGCAGAGATACCTGGGTCTCTGTGAGATTGAGGCCAGCTAGGACTACATAAACCCTGTCTCAAAAAAACCAAAAATGTCCTGACAGTTTGCCTTTATCAGAAGAATTCTCTTCAATTGCAGACTTAAAATTTAGAAGAAATAATCCATGCCTGGGTGGATAAACTAGCCATTGAAACTATAGGAATTGCTGGCTTGTGGTTCAAGCCTATAATCCCAACTAAGGAGACTGCTGAAGCAAAAGGTCACAAGTGTGAAGCCTGCCTGGGCAGCTTGGTGGGATCCTGTCTCAAAATCAAAGGCAGAAAGCTGGGGCATATAGCTTAGAGGTAGAACACTTGCCTAGAATCCACCAGTGGGGGATGGGGGCATGGCACAGCAGTAGGGTGCCTGCCTAGAATCCCCCAGTGAGGAGCTGGGGCCTGGCGCAGCAGGGAAGTGCCTGCCTATCATGAACAAGGCCCTAGGTTCAAGCACAGTCCTGCTTGTCAGGTACCTGCTGTGACTTGGGAGTTAGCCCTTCTTGTTTTAAAGAAGTTTCCTATGGAAGGTACATGGTAGTACCTGCAGGAAACAAAAGAAAGGAAATGCAAATGCTAGGGGATGCTTACTGAGTCTGTGCTGTGGGTTTTTCAGTACCCTGAAACTTTCACGGGCCCTGTGGTTGGTTCTGAAACCCACCCATTGAAATGGGTTCCCCAGGGCACAAGCTAAAGTATAAACTTGACCAAGTATACAAGCCAAGATGTGACAATGATGACTCACTATTTAATATTCATTAACACATATTTAAATTTATTGTGTTAACTACCAAAGATACATTGCTTTTGGTACAGGGAAGAGAGGCGGGTGTGAATCATAAAAATAGTATGTCATCCAGACCTGGTGACAGAAGTCTGTAACCCCGGTGCAGAACCCTGGAGGCAGGAGTATCAGGAGTTCAGAACCACCCTCAGCTATGTAGTTTGAGGCTAGCTTGTATTACATGTTACTCAAGAAACAACAGCAACAACAAATGTATGGTCTAGGAGAACTATAAGAAGCTCTTATACCAGGGCTGGAGAGATGGCTCAGCGGTTAAGAGGATTAGCTGCTTTTGCAGAGGACCCAGCTTCAATTCCCAGCACCCACATAGCAGTCATCCATAGCTCCAGATCCAGGAGATCACCCTCTGGTTCAACACCCTCTTCTGACCTCTGCGGGCATTGCACAACATGAGTGCACTTACACACATGCAGGCAATACACTCGCATACATAAAATAAAAATAGAATTTTTAAAAAAGTTCTTATACCAGACAAAAGGGATGCAAAGTGCAGAAACATTTCCTTTTTATGATTTATTTTTAAATGTTTATTATTAAGTGTATGAGTATTTCCCCTGCTTGTGTGTAGGTGTACTACATGTGTACAATGCCCATGGAGGCCAGAAGAGGGCATCAGATCCCCTGGAGCTGGAGTTAAGGAGAGTTGTTAGCCACCATGTGGGTGCTGGGAATTGAACCTGGATCCTCTGCAAGAGCAGCCAGTGCTCTTAACCACTGAGCCGTATCTCCAGCCCCAGATTTATTTTTAATTATATGTATGTGTCTGCAGTGGGGTATATGCATCTGAGCACAGTGCCTATGGAGGCCAGAAGAAGGTGCCAGGTCCCCTGGAACTGGAGTTGCCAGTGGTTGTGAGCCACTCAACATGAGTGCTGGAAACTGAACTTCCATCCTCTACAAGAGCAGTATATAATCTTACCTGCTGAACTGTCTCTCCAGCCCCCTAGAATCATTTCTTAGAAGAAATAAGCTTGGGGCTAAAGAGATGGCTCAGTGGTTAAGAGCACTGACTGCTCCTGCAGAGGACGTAGGTTTGAATCCCAGCACCCACATGGTCAACAACCATCCGTATTCCAGTTCCAGGGGACCCAATGCCCTCTTTTCTCCTCTGCGGGCACAGCATAACATAGGTGCACTTATACATATACAGGCATAACACTCATACATATAAATAAAAAATAATTTTAAAATTTAAAAAAATAGGCAAGCTGTAATGAAATGCTTCTTCTAATCATGTGGTTATTAAATTTTTTTTAAAAAGCTTTAGGCTGAGGCAGTAATGTAGAAAAAAATAATAGGCCAAGTTATCTGGGTACTGAGTAAAGAAAAATGTCCTGAGCAAAAAGTTGTGACGCTTTTACCAAAAGGATGAATGGAGATTCAGAAGGATGGCTTAGTGCCTCCCACAACAAGAAATTGAGTTTGGATCCCTAGCGCCCATGTAAAAGTCAGGTGTGGCCAGGTGCGGTGGCGCACGTCTTTAATCCCCGCATTAGGGAGGCAGAGGCAGGTGGATCTCTGTGAAACTGAGGCCATCCTTGTCTAGATAGTGAATTCCAGGACAGTTGGGACTATAGGGAGACCCTGTCTCAAAAGTAAATAAGGTAGAGCAACTCATAACCAGTAAGTTAGCACCTATTCCTCTTGTTTGCAGAGCTGACCTGTATATATGACGGCTCTAAAGTAAGGACTGCATCTTTGAGGGGAGGGCACGGAAGCAGGGCCGTGTGGCAAAGTGCAGGGGAAGGTCAGACGACAACCCAAGGAATCATCTCCTTCCACCATATGGGCGCCAACGCCGGTCCTCGGGGTTCAGAAAAAGCTCTTTTACCTACTGAGCCATCTCATCGGCCCAGGACTGCAATTTTTACATACTTCTGATTAGGTATTAATTTGCACAAATCGATATCCAGATCATTCATAAACACTTGATAAAATATTTATGACCAGGTACTATTTTTTAGTATGTGTATTAGAATGTGCACATGAGTATATGTTTTGTGTCTCTGTGTACATATATTTGAATACACTAATACATGGTATTGTCTTCATATAAAGAGGGAGAAAGAGGGACTAGGGAAGTGGTTCAGTGGTTAAAAGCATTTACTGCTTTTCCAGAGGACTGAGGTGCAGTTCCTCAGCACCCACATGGCATCTAACTTGCATCTTTAACTCCAGTTCTAAGGAATCTGACACCCTCAGGCAGGCACGCACACACATAAACACACACCCAAAGTGCACTTATATACATAAAGGAAAAACACTCATACACATGAAATAAAAATATCTTTTTTTTAAATGGAGAAAGAGAAAATAGTATTCTTGGTCATGCATTAATTTTTGGAATACATTTTTTCCAAATATTGAATTTTTGTGATTTTCATACAATATAATTTGATAGTATTTAGATGCCTTCCCTTCTCCACAGCTCCCCTCCACTACCTCCTACCCAATTTAATATATATATACATGCCCTAAAGGAGCTGGAGAGATGGCTCAGTGGTTAAGAGCACTGTCTGCTCTTGCAGAGGACCCGGGTTCAATTCCCAGCACCCACATGGCAGCTAATAATGCCTGTAACTCCAGTTCCAGGGGATCTGACACCCTCTTCTGGCCTCTGCAGGCACTGCATGACATGGGTGCACTTACATATATGCAGGCATAACATTCGTACACATAAAAATTTTTCATTTTAAAGGCTTATAGAGTCTGATTTGTGTCCCAACTACTCTTAAATATGAATTCATTCACTAGGCCCACCAAGAGTCCCATCCTTGTAAGACACTATCTCTTCCCCTTCCAGAAACCATCAGTTGGCAAAAGTTCCTTACATTGTCTTGTGATTTCTTACCCACTTTCCCATGTCTATGCTGGGATTTTGTGTGATTTGAGTTTGCATGGGGCTTGTGCACACTGTCACCATTGCTGTGAGTTCATACAAGTAAATGATCAGCTGTCTGGAAAACTGTTTCCTTGTGATCTTCTACCCCTCTGGCTCTTACAATCTTTCCACCTCCTCTTCTGAGCCTTGAGAGGCAGAGGTTTGAAATAGGTGTCCTATTCAGGAATAAGCACTCTAATACACATTGGAAAAAAAGATTATTATAAATTAAAACTTAAAAGGGGGCCTAAGGACATAACTCAGTTGGTAGAGTGCCTGTCTAGCATTCACAAAAGCCTAGGGTTCAATCCCCAGCACCACATAAACTGGGCTCCACAGCACTTGAGAGGCAGAGGTAGGAGAATCAATAGTTCGGACTCACATTTAGCTACTGTGCTGGTTTGTTTTTTGACAACCTGAAACACGCTAAAGACAATTGGAAAAAAGGGATTCTCATTTGAGAAATTCCTCCATCAGATTAGCCTGTGGACATGTCTGTGGGGCGTTTTTATGCTAAGGTATATGAGAGGGACCAGCCTACTGTGGGCAGTGCCATCTCTAGGCAGGTAGGCAGAACAGTATAGGGAAAGGTAAAGGAACAAACCAGTATGCA